AATGAAGGCACTGTAAATTTAAAACATGTAGAGTTAGCCCACGTTTTATTTCTGCTTGGTACGAGTTCAAAACACCAGTGAAGTAAGAAAAAACTGATCGATGCCAGCTAAATAATATACTACAGTACACAAGTGTTCTGTTCATGTCTTGTATAAACCACATGAACGCGCATGTTCACACTATCCCACCTGCACTTGAACGCTGCATTACTAAGGATCAACAACTAGGAAGCAGGATATTTAGTCAGTTTGGTCACAATGAACAAAAGACAATTCAACTGTCAACTGTATCTGTCAAAATCTATTTCTATGGCAATTAATCATCAGATAAAAGGTCATGGTCGTGACAGGCCTCCCTCATACCAAAAACAGGCTTAAACGTGGAATAAACCATTGAGTTCAGACAGAAATCCCTGGAGATATTGAAAAAAACTGTGGAAGTGCTGGACAGTATTAATGAAATTCAATATTACAACAATTTTTTTCTAAATTATCAAAGTGTAACAGTATCAGATATGTAAGTGCATTAATAAAGTGAATGAACATGCATCCTGTGTGCTACTCTACGCTAAAAGAACCTGCAATTTATTTTACGTATTTTGAACCAGGCACCTAACAATTTGCATTCATTGCAGCTACATGGCAAAAGGGACATTACCGAGTGCACAATTACATGCACTCAATAATCCAAAAATAATCAGATTTCTGCAGTTATCCGGTTATTCAAATGGTCATGTAAACACCATACTCTGATCTAGAAATCTGATCAAGAAATACGATAAAGAGGCTGGATTTTAGCTCAGTAATCAGATTTCTCAGTGTTGTAAACTCTTACTCTGATTTCTTTCATATTTCTGCACATGTGCAAAAACAGACAGCGGTACCAGAAATAACCGAGCAGCGTTGCCCTTTTGGAGAGGCACTGAAACCAAACACAAAATAAAGGATTTAAATATTCTTCATCTTCTAGATGATGTAGTTCATATTTTCAGGTAAAGCTGCGTGATGTTTTCGAAAAAGCCTCGGTATAAATTTGAGTTTTACGTTACGTTTAAGTCACATCTTCTGTGAGTTTAGTGGCCGGTTACAAAGTAGAAATCTGATTACTGTCTGACTCATGCAGACCTGGAGTTTCCCCATTATCTGATTACTCAAGTGCATGAAAATGTGTTGATCGGATTACTGACAAAATCTGATTTTCTGCAGTTATCGGATTATTGAGTGCATGTAAACACGCTCAGTACTTTACAGAACAGAATGTTATCATAGATTTAAGACTCTTTATTTATCAATATCACTAAAAATGAGGATGAACATCACAGTGTGCTACACTGGTATAGCTGATATATCGCACAGCATTGCTGACAGACAGGAACAGCACAATGTTTGATCATTTTCCACCATGTGTTCTGCTCCAATAGCTCTGCTACAGGCCATCTCCAGCAACAACACTCTGCTCAAGGCTGTAGAGAGATCATGTGCTCATATAAAATGTTGTGTTCAAGGTTGTGACATCACAACCATGATGGATTCAAAAAAAGGTCATCTTTCCAGCTGAGTGTTTATATATGGACTGCATGGACCAGGAAGTGAGTGGTATATTTAAACGACGGCACAGAAAATTTGCATTTCCCTTTATAACAAGACAGAATGGCGAATCTCGGCGAGCACGGAGGCAGGTAGGGGGAAGTGCAGGGGGGTGCATGCCGTTCAGGCTTTGACACCGGCTCCTTCCCTGGAGGGCGGCCCACGCTCCTTCCCCCCTCCGGCCACGAAAAGCAATCAAGGCGCTGAGCAATCTCCCCTGGACCTTACCTCTGTTTAATTACAGAGCGCTCCAGCAGACGCTGCCGGGGGGCCCACCGAGCTGCTTCTGTAGCACGGGGGCGAGAGACATGGCGCAATAGTGCTCTCATTTGTAACGCGGCGCGGGACAGGGACCCGGGCCGGCCTCGTCAGCGCTTTTCCACCGACATCCGTGGCCCACTTCAAAACGTTTTAGTGTTGTTTTCCGCCCGGCTCTCTCTGACACAGCACGAGCGGCGGCCTTCGAGAGGCTGCATCTACGGCACAGCAAGGATGAGATGAAAGAGCAAGGATGCTGTTTAGGATGCAGCCTGTGAACCTTTGGCCTGAGAATGCAATTTATTCATTTTCTCCCCAGTGCTGTGTACTTGATGCTCTGCAATGCGATCCAGCTGTCACCCATCAGCCGGCATCCACAAACAACACGTCCAGGAAAGGTTTCTGTCATCGAGCCGCAAGACGGAACGAGTTGCGATGCGCAGCTTGAAAGTGCTTCTAATTAAATTAACGAGGCAAACCTATTTTTGCATGTTGCTATGCTACAAACATATTGTCGCCCTGCAAATCAATGCATTAGTGTGAATCAACGTATTGTTCTCACTGATAACAAGCGAGTCATCGAGTGTTGGGGAGGAGACGGTAAATAACACTGGGAAATTGTTGTTTGTGTTGCTTTAATGTGACTAATAAGAGACTTTATTTTTCTTGTCACAGTCACTCTCTAAAGCAGCGCTTAAGGCCAAGGTCCTTTCAGTAACTTTCTTTATTTACCAGTGAATGCACTATGACAGTGATGTGAAGAGGAGGGGAGAGCAAATGAAGAATGTGAGCTGTTTTCTTCTAGGTGGAAGCAGAAGAGCTGAAGAAAACAGCACAAAAGACACAGCGTATGTTTAAACTAGGGTTGTACGATAAATCGTATTATTATCGTTATCACGATATGAGTTTCAGCAATAAACGCATCGTTAGAGCAGCGAAGACAGAACAGATCCAATTACGTCTTACATGTAGCGCCAGAGAGACGTTGTTACCTTGCTGGCACGAACCGTTAGAAGCCTAATGAGTGCACTGGCGGAGGAGGAGTGACTTAACCGTTAGGCTAAACAGCCAATTACAAAACATACACATGCACAGCTCAAAAACTACTCCATCCTGAACACAATCCTGTACAAATAATAACTAAAAATAAAATAAAACAAAAAGATGTATTTGTTCTTGTGCGACTATATAAAAAATAAGTACATAATTATTTGTTTTTGTACTCTATAAAAGAAGCTGCTGAGGCAATGCTGACTCTTTCTCAGCCTTCTAGTAAACAAAAAATCTGCCTGCAGTTCTGATTTAAGTAGCTGTTAGTTTTTTGTTTCTTCTTATTTTGCACAACAGTGAATGGTGCTTTTGTAATTTTGGATTTTGCTCTTTGCAAAAAAAAATGTTAATTAAATTTCTGTTTACACATCCAAAAAGTCTGTACCTGCATAGCTATTTTAATAATCATTTATCACTTCTCATAACGTCATCATGATCTCCAACAGCTTTAGCGAACATGGCATTTTTTGTCAGTATCGTCCGGCCCCAGTTGGTGTGTCGGGCTTCTACGCTGCGCTAATACAGTCTGAAATTTGAGCAAGAAACACAAATATTGCTGAAAGCCAAACCCCCAAGCAGGACTAGTTAGATACACAGTGTGCTGAATCAATACTGGCTGTCAGCTTACTTCAGTGTGAAAGGGATCAATGTTGAGGACTGAGCTGAAGCCCAAAACAGTCGTCCGCATAATTGATGTGGAGCTACGAATCGGTAGATAACTGGCTGAGGTCCAGTTTCCAATATAATCAAATTTGATGTAATTGTGAAGGCTGAAAAAACAAAAAAAACAAGCTTGTTATCCCACTGCGAAGCACCAGCCTTATTCTAGTGCACTGCTTGATTTACATAAGTGTGCTTTTCACGTTGCGCATCTCAGCTTAGTTCCTGGTTCAACCACCATTTGACTTTGCCATCTGCTCCCCTCTAAATAAATTCATATTCATAGCCATCATTTAAGCGGCCATTGTTGTGATGACCACAGAGAAAACAAACAAGCACACATGACTAAACACTGGGAAGGGAATAAAGAGAGAGAGAGAGAGAGAGAGAGAGAGAGACTGCCCCATTGATGGACTTGTGAGTCAGTCAGTGAGCGAAACAGATTGGGAGTGATATAATACTTGAGGCTGGAAATGTGTGATAGCTGCGAATGGAATTCAGCTGAGCCGAGCCGTCCTACAACGTTTTAGCCTTAAGGCCAAAAAACGCTCTGCCACCAGAGATGAATATCAACATTTATTGTCAGCACATCAGCTCAATTTGTCTGCATTTTCTCCTTCTTATCTCTGGAAGCTGCATCAGCTCAAGCCTTTATGTATGGATATTATACAAACCAGGGGGGTTAAACATGCTATTTACCCTTTCCGGAGCACTGGGGGAGCAGAATTCCTGATACTGATCACCGGGAACCACTCAGAATGTGAAGAAGCCGCAGCTCCTTGCATCCCAAACCGGCCAATTCTGAGTGACAGCCAGTGCTTAGGTCACTCACAGTGGAAGGTAAATACTCAAAATAGGTGGCACGGCTCCCATTTCCACACTGAAGTGGCATTTATTCCCATTAATGGCTTTGTAGGCATCTGCCATGAGAAGTGGTTTGACCATCTTGACCATAATGACCATTATCTCAGCCTCTCATTACAGTGGCACTGAGTGGAAGCTCTATAAGCTGCAGAACTGTCCTGGCAAAAATTCTCCAGGACTCCTCTCACGCTGGAAAACCTGGAAAGCCCTCCAGCCCTTTTCCCAAAACCCAAAGTGCCTTACCAATCAGTTCCCAGAGGGTGGACAGTATGAGCATTATTCAACACGCTGCATTATCTCATCAAGCCAAAAGTAGCCCTTGCAAAACAGCCTACGTCCACTGTCTACACCAATAGAAACTGTAGCCAAAACGGTCAGAACACCACCACCCCCCACCCCACCACACACCACCACCACCTTCCCTCCTCATGCAGCCTACCATCCCGTCTTTCTATGGCTGCCCAGAGGAAAAAAACACATGTTTATTCAGGGGAACGGACTGAACAGGACCTGAAAGCTGACATGTTTGCTTCCCCAGCCTCATAAACACCAGCAGGACCAGCAGGACGTTTCCTCCTTACCTGCAGACGCGCTGACAGAGAGATTTCAGGCTTCTTTTCTTCTCGACGCCTCCTTTGCCACACGAAATCACAAAAAAAGCTCGGACCTTCAACGCAGGCACTTCTCCATGTTTCTCTTCTCCCCTCCACCACCTCCTCCTCCTCTTCTTCTTCTTCTTCCTCCTCTGAGCCTGGGCCTCCTCTATTAGCAGGTGGACGCGCCTCCCAATGATGGAGCCAGCCCGCTTCTCTTCCCCCTAGAGCTCCATTTTAAATGACAGCCCCAGTCGTACTCCACCATGGCTCACAATGGCAGTAAGCCTGCGTCTCTGCCTCCAACTCCCGCAGCGTGCAGCTCCCCTCCCTCGACTACCAGGTGCTTGATGGTGCCATTGTTGAGGCGTTATCTTTTCTCTCTTTTTCTGCAGCTGGACCTCTCTCTCTCTCTCCCTCTCTCTCCCTCTCTCTCTCTCTCTCGTGCCCCCCTCCCACCTTGCTCGTAGGGCGCAGTCTCGTTAACTTGCTGCTCCCCTTTTCCTCGTCTTTTTTTCCCTATCCGACCTATGAAAGAGCGCGTATTCTGTTTTTTTCCCACCCGTATTCCGGAAAAGCCCCGCCCTCCTACACCGGGATTGGCTCGTGTGTCGGCTTCTTTCGCCTACAGTGATAGTAGTTCATACGAGCGTGTATTTTTCCCACCTGTTTTCCGGACAAGCCCCGCCTCCTGCGCGTACATTGGTTCACGATCCGCCGACTACCACTTGCTGTGCCAGCGCAAGGGGCGTGGCCTGTGTGAATACAGGTGGGAAAAACAATTTTTGTTATTTTATTAAGCCACAATTGGAACAAGTACAAACCAGTGAACTGTAGTTACAGTGTTCAGAAATATAATTAATACAACATTAATACACTCTCACAGTTTAAACAGGTGTATAATAGACTATGACATGATAATACACAGTAATCAATATTAGTCAATAATAATGTAATTCATTTTAATTCAGAGATCTGCAAACATAGAAAGAAAACGTTAAAAAAAGGAAAAAGAGGTTCATATACCGAAAGTAAGAAATAATTATTAATATAAATAATTAAAAATAGGTTTTTGGCATCTTGGATCTGTATGTAAGTTTATCATATGAGTTATTTCTGCAAGAAAACTTAAAAAAACATGAACACATCGACATCACACGCTCTTCCAGCGCGTACGCCACACACACTGCGCTCCTATTGGCGGAGTGTTTGTGAGTAGAAGCTACCAGCAAATCTCAGCGCGGGAGGAGGGGCTTGCCGGAAAACGGGTGTGATAAGAAATAACTCGTGGGGCATGCGGAAAATAAACCAAGTGCCACTTACATGTGACAGAAATCCACCAGGTATCCTCAGGCTGAGCTTGTAAGTTGCCTGTGTTCGCTCACTGTGACTGCATAAGCGATTAATTTAGACTTAACAGGTAAAGTGGTGGCATTTTTTGACAAATGTCGGAGTAGACCGTCTGATCCGCTCACCTGTAACTCGTCATATTCAGTTCATTTAAAGTAATGCACTTAATGTGATGTACACTTCTGTGTCGAAATTTATTTCCGTGATGAATTGGATGGCCTCCAGACTGAGACTGTTTTTAAAATCAAATCAAAAATCAAAATGGGCCATTTTTAGGTTCAAGTATCTGGTTAAATTAAGCCTGATTCACCCATTCATACAATTTAATACATACAAGCAGTGACATTTCAGCAATATTTATTCATATTCAGCACATATACAGCAACATTTAATAACATTTATCCATATTCAGCACATATACAGCAACATCTAATAACATTTATTCACATTCCGCACATATACAGCAACATCTAACTAACATTCATTCACATTCCGCACATATACAGCAACATCTAATAACATGTATCCATATTCAGCACATATACAGCAACATCTAATAACATGTATCCATATTCAGCACATATACAGCAACATCTAACTAACATTTATTCACATTCCGCACAGATACAGCAACATCTAACTAACATTTATTCACATTCAGCAGATATACAGCAACATCTAACTAACATTTATTCACATTCCGCACATATACAGCAACATCTAACTAACATTATTCACATTCCGCACATATACAGCAACATCTAACTAACATTTATTCACATTCCGCACATATACAGCAACATCTAACTAACATTTATTCACATTCAGCACATATACAGCAACATCTAACTAACATTTATTCACATTCCGCACATATACAGCAACATCTAACTAACATTTATTCACATTCCGCACATATACAGCAACATCTAATAACATTTATTCAAATTCAGCACATATACAGCAACATCTAACTAACATTTATTCACATTCAGCAGATATACAGCAACATCTAACTAACATTTATTCACATTTCGCACATATACAGCAACATCTAACTAACATTTATTCACATTCAGCACATATACAGCAACATCTAACTAACATTTATTCACATTCAGCAGACATACAGCAAGATCTAATAACATTTATTCAAATTCAGCACATATACAGCAACATCTAACTAACATTTATTCATATTCAGCACATATACAGCAACATCTAATAACATTTATTCATATTCAGCACATATACAGCAACATCTAACTAACATTTATTCACATTCAGCACATATACAGCAACATCTAACTAACATTTATCCAAATTCAGCACATATACAGCAACATCTAACTAACATTTATTCACATTCCGCACATATACAGCAACATCTAACTAACATTTATTCACATTCCGCACATATACAGCAACATCTAACTAACATTTATTCACATTCAGCACATATACAGCAACATCTAACTAACATTTATTCACATTCAGCACATATACAGCAACATCTAACTAACATTTATTTACATTCAGCACATATACAGCAACATCTAACTAACATTTATTCACATTCCGCACATATACAGCAACATCTAACTAACATTTATCCAAATTCAGCACATATACAGCAACATCTAATAACATTTATTCACATTCCGCACATATACAGCAACATCTAATAACATTTATTCACATTCAGCACATATACAGCAACATCTAACTAACATTTATTTACATTCAGCACATATACAGCAACATCTAATAACCTCTAATATCCAGTTCATGTACAGAAACGTCTAAGTACTTATTGCCTGACAAAAGCAACAAATCACAGCTTCTCTGAGCTCAAATGTCCCACTTTAATAAAACTCAACCTAATTGTTGCAGGACTGCATGAAAAACTGTCCGACTTCTGACCGAACAGGCCATGAATTAATTACAGAGATGAGACCAGAGCCGAAATCACGACTAAACCAAGAGTCCAGTTCAGTCAAACCACGTCACGATGAGAATTCTGTGCTTTTTGCCAGTTTGTCCAGTTCTTTACAACAGCAGCAAAACATAAGGCAGCCTGTAGTTCCCCACAAGGACTAAGCCAGTGCTCACTGCCCTGTGCAGCAAACAACAGTATAAGTGTAACCAAAACAGTTTCATCTCAATTACAACCAACGTACTGAATTTGACTCATAGCTTTAGCAGATCTTTAAAAATGAAACTGCTTCTTCTGTTCGTTCACTCTGCAGTTAGACCTCTGCTCTTAATGATGGTACATCTGAACACACTCAGACTGGACTGTGTGAAGCCTGGGTGAATAAGGGTGCTACTGTTGTTCTAAGCCAATTAATGCTAAAGAAGAAGACAGTAGGCCGACTGCTGTGTTTGCTAACGCTCTCCAGTGTAGAAAAATCTACCTTTTTTAGTGATTTTTCTCCTTTGAAATGGTCATTTTATTAAAATAATTGGTGAAAATGATGACAAAGCCATTATAATGATGATTTTCGTCTGCAGATGGACAGTGAGGTTGACTCCTAGCGAGTAGAGATCATAGCTTTTTTAATTTCAGAATTCTGAGCTTTAATAATCACTCAGCCTCTGCTAAAATCCCTGTTTTGGTTGTCGAGATGTCCTAAACATAGTTAATTTGTCACCTCTGGAGTAGATGAGATTTGAACAGAATGTGTCTATATGGCCAAAAGTATGTGGACACCTGACCATCACAGCTATCTGAGCTTGTCAGGCATCCTCTTCCAAAATTATGGGCTATAACAGCCTCCACTCCTCTGAGAAGGCTTTACACAAGATTTTGGAGTTTGTCTGTCGTACTTTGTGTCCACTTAGTCAAAAGAGTGTTTGTGAGTTCAGGCATTGATGTTGGACGAGAAGGCCTGGCTCGCAATTGATGTTCCAGTTCATCCCAAAGGTGTTTAGTGGGGTTGAGGTCAGGGCTCTGTGGAACAAGAAAAGGTCTTCTCTAAAATGCTGCCACAAAGTTTGAAGCATATAACTGTCCAAAATGTTTTTGCTGTGCTGTATCATTAACATCACCCTTTAATGGAACTAAGTGGCCCAAACCCTGAAAAACAGCCCCGCCCATCATCCCTCCTCCACCAAACTGTACTGTTGGCTCTGCATTCTGGTAGGTAACGTTCTCCTGGCATCCACCAAACCCAGATTCATCCATCAGACTGACAGAGAACACGGTTCCACTGCTCCAGAGTCCAGTGGCGGCGCTTTACACCACCCCAGCTGACACTTGGCATTGCGCATAGTGAGCTTAGGCTCGTGTGCAGCTGCTCAGCCATGGAAAAAAGGTAATTTTTACGTACTTCAGCACTCAGCAAACCTGTTCTGTAGGTTTACGCTTTGTGGCCAAGCTTCTAGACACTTCCATTTCACAACAAAGGCACTTACGGTTGACCAGGGCAGATCTAGCAGGGCAGAAGCTTCACAAACTGACTTCTGGCCATTCTACTGCCGGTGTATGTCAAAAGGGATTCATGGCTATGCTTGATTTTATACACCTATTAGCAATGAGTGTGGCTGAGATGCCTGAACTTAAGGGGTGTCCACATACTTTTGACCTTATATTGTACATTCACTCTCTGTTGCACCCTTTTATTATTATCATTTAGTAAATGATATCAACAGCAAATTAAATGTATTACATTACTTTTAATAGCAAGTTTAAAAAGGTGGCCTGTAAGCAGAGTCTTTGCTCTAGTTAATCAGGAGCTTAACCACTGTGGAAAGTAACACACTTGATCCCACCCTGACCACTTTGGGGAAAGAAAAAATGAAAGAAAATAGAAAAAAAAAACATTTTACAGTGTCGTGTGCAGCCCATCAGTTTGGAGACACCATGCTAATCTTCTGAAACTGGAATTTTCTCACTGTTACCTTTCAATTAAGAAAAGGAGTTGCTGTACACTTTGGGCATATATGTTGTAACAGCAATATTATTATTATTACGATTATTATTAGTAGTAGTGCTTGTAATGTTACATAACGTACCCAAAGTATCAATATAAAGCAAATAATTAATAATGATAATTATGTAATTAATTAAAATCCATAATGATAAAAACAATGATAATAATTAATATTGTAAATTAATCATAAGTTATTATTTAGACAATAGCAG